TTTTTTTTGAATTTATGTATTAATATTGTTGTTTTTAAATTATGCAGATAACTTTTCAGTTAACAGTGAAGCAGCTGATGAGCTTAGATCCTTGTGAATGGACTGAAAATCTAATGAAAGAGTACATGTTGGTCATTGAAGGCTTTTTCACCATACCTTTCCCAATTTTCTCCACCACATATAAAAGGGCCATTCAAGTAAGCAACCAAAAAAAAAAGGAATTTTATTTGATTTAAAAAGTATTATATTATTTTTAAAATACTTTCGTTACGGAACTATTTCGTAGAGAGTTTTAACCGTTACATCATTTGTCCCGACAGTTACATGGTGATATAAAAGTTACAAATCTCGACTGAATGGTTCCGGACCAAAGCATCTCCCTATATTATTACTGTAATTAATGTTTATGTAATTCAGTATTTAGAATTTTATGATTTTTTTTTTTTNNNTTGGTTAGGCTCGGACAAAGGTGGCGGAGGCGCTAAGCCTGGTGGTTCGGGAAAGGAGGAGAGAGAGTGAGAGAGGAGAGAAAAAGAAGGACATGCTGGCGGCGCTTCTGGACGAGGAAGGCGGTGGAGGTGGCTTTTCCGACGAGGAGATTGTGGATTTCATGGTGGCTCTTCTGGTGGCGGGTTACGAAACGACGTCGACTATAATGACGCTCGCCGTTAAGTATCTGACGGAGACACCCACGGCGTTAGCTCAGCTCAAGGTGTGTGACGCTTGTCTCTCTCTCTCTCTCTCTTTTTTCGATTATGATTTATGTTAGATTTATTTAAATTGTTAACATATTTTTAATTAATTGATAGTAGTACTATTAAATTAAATGTGTCTCGGTTTGACTCGTTAAGGTTCGAGTTCGCTCGAGCTCCAGGCTTTAACAAGTCGGTCTCGAAATTATTTAAAGCTTAAATTCGGCTCGATAAGACTCGAAAACAGTATTTTCATATAATTTTCTATAGTTCGACTCGTTAAAGTTCGATATTGACTTGTTGATAGTGATAAACGAGCTTATCGAGCTCGAGCTCGATTTCTGACTTGTTTATTTAACGAGTCGATCAAGGCTTAAGCTGAATCTCGGCTCGCCTCGTTTATATGCCTAAATTAATAATCACAATATAATGATTTTACAGAAGATAAAATGAACTTATACCACTACATAATATTAATTTGGATAAAACAATTTCTATAATCACAATATAATGATTTTAATTGGTCAAATTGTCAACCAAGCTAATTTTGGTCAAAAAGCTAAAATTGTGTTTGTTATGTTACTCAAATCAATTTGTGGGCCAAGGTGGTATTTATGATATATGTATCATATAAAAATAAATATAAATTACTATATTGGTTAAAAAAATGCTTTTATTAGTTCATTTATGAATATGAAAGGCTATTAATTACATGAGTGAGAAAATTTGTATATTAGCTTTTTAATTGTTTCATTTCTCCTTTTGTCTTATAAAGTCTCTACTCTTTTATTGAACATATATGAAAGTATCTATATATTTTGTTGTTGTTAACTTTTACATAATTTAGGATAATATATATATTTAATTTATTTTATCTAATTTTAAAAATATGCAACATTCCTATGATTACATGATTTATAATTTGATTTAGTTTTATAATTAAATATACCTATATTGATCAATATATTAACTGCACATTTTAAATATTACTTTTTAATTAGTAATTAGTAATTACATTAAAAATTTATGAAAAATATAACTC